CTGGTTAAAATTAAAATTAGAACTCATCAAGGAATTAAATTGTTTGGATGCATCGAACCCAAATTTCAACCCATGATTACTTAACTTCTACAATCTAGGAATTTTCTGGCTTCACTCTGAAAATAATTTGATCTCCCAACTAAAATTTTAAAGATATATTTTGTGAGAAAAAAATTCAAACAAATGAAGCACAAATGTCAAATAAGTGAAAAATTCAACTCACTACTGAAAAAATGCAAATAAGAATAGACCATAAATATCCTTTATCAAATTGGCAAAGAATTTTTTTTTTTCAGATTATTATGCTCAGGATGAAGAAAAGTATAACCTTCCCTGGAGAGGAATTTATTTGGCAATATTTACTATAATGCTTGAAAAGAGAGAATGGGCACTTCCAGTGTTTATTAGTAGGAATGAAAACTAGTGTTACCTCTCTGGAGAGCAATCTGGCAATATACCCATGTATAACCTTTGGCGGAGGACTTCCACTTCTAAAACTAATCCTAGAGAACTAATTAGGCAAATATACAAAGATGTAAGTGAAGGTACTCCTTGCAGTATTATTTATAGCTGGGGGGGAAAAAAAGGAAACTATGTGACAGTCCAATGAGAGATTTAGTAAACAAGTAACTATGTTCTTACAAATTGAAACATGCAGTTGTGAAGAAGTATGTGTAGGTATACTGAGGCGCAAAGACATACAAGATACAAAGTAGTAGAAAAAAGGACAAGTTGGAAAATATCACATATGGTAAAATCACATGTATGCATGTACAAATGCAAAAACAGTCATCAAAAAGTTAACAGCAATTAGCTCTAGGTGGTGTGACTTACAGTGAGTTTTCTATTCTTATCATGAATTTCTCTTTGGTTTGAATTTTTCCATGAGTAGATATCATTTTTTATAGCAATCAAAAAGCTCTTTTCAAAAGGTAGAGAGAAAAATGGGAAATGGAAAAGAATTGGACATTCATAACCTGTAGTTTGCTTCCTGGAATTTATTCTAAGGTCACAATAACATATGAACTGGAATGATCATTGTGGCAATATTCAGAATATTGAAAATTAATATAACTTTAAGATAATTTAACTTAATATAAACATTAAGATTCTATTTAAATAAATGCAATTTAATTGGGTAATATGAACAAAGAAATACATTAACTTGGAAATATTTCACAATATATCAGTAAGTGAAATAAAAGGTAACTAAATAGACCTTAGTTTTGCACACATTTTGTATCTTTCATATACAAATATATAAAGAAAAGTCCAAAAGGATATATGTCAAAATATATACAGCAGTAACTAGTATTTTCCTTTTCTACCAAATGTTTGTATAAGAAACAAGTACTATTTATATAATTTTTTGAAGTTTTAAAAACATTCCTTGTAGATTTTGCAGGTGTTAAAATACTAGGGAAATTGTTCAAATGATATTAATCTATGAAAAACAATAGGATAAAAATCTCAACCCTTTTATCCAGCATTCAACTCAGCCCCAAAAGACCCTATGAAGCCCCTTGCACGGCACATACTTCATGCTATAAAGATCTGAAGGCAACAAAAGTCCAAACGGCTCAGGAAACCCAAGGTACCTATTCTGATTTTGTGTCCTGAGATGTACGGAGTTATAAAACATTCTGGCTCAGATTACAGGCTGAGCGTGACAAGTCCGTCTGGTACAACCTAACAAAGGAATTTACACAGAATGAGAAATTTACACATTTCATTTCCCAGAGTGGAATGAATTACAGAAGCAGAGAACTCAGTAGGGGTTAAGCTCTTTCCTGCCACTCTGCTATATGCTTCTGAATTGTGCATTATGGGCATGTCTTGCATGATTTGCTTATTACTATGCTACACTAAAATAAACTTCTTTTTTTTTTTTTAAGGCAAATAGGAAGAGAAGTGAGAAAGAGTGTATTTTAACCGGATCAAACTTTTTATATATTTTCAGGTGAACTGGGAGATGCCAGATCACCCTCCCTGCCTATCTCTGCCCCCCTACCCCTCCCCAGAACATTATGGCTGATAACAATAGTTTTCTCTCCCGGGTAGTGTAGATGACACATTTTTCCTGTAGCTTGTCTTCCTGTAATGTGCAGGAATTCCTGCACTTTCTGGGTGCCCTTCCTGTTAACTTACATTTCAGATTTCCTCAAAGGGCATACTAGTGCTTTAATATTTGAAAAATGTCAGTTCAACCCCAGACAGCTAATACAAACAAGCTGAGAAGTATACCACCTAAAGTTACAACTGTGGAAAACAAAATTTCTTTTTAAGAAATTCTTTCTCGGAATCTCACTGTTGGTAAGGCTGCAAAGAAGTAACCCAGTCCTTCCAGCTCCCAGGCAGTCTATAATTCTTTGCCTCTGCTTTGCCTTAAATTAGAGGTCTGTAAAACCGAATTATAGTGATCTAGAAAGTTCGTAAAGGTCCCTGAATTGAACATGTTGTTAAATTCTTCAATACTATGAGATTGTATCCACCTTTCACTTTTCCTCCCATTTCATTTGGCTAGAGTATTAAAAAGAAGTTTGGAACTGCAAAAAAAAAAAAAAAAAAAAAGTTTTGGCCATTTGAGGATAGCATAGCTGAATTAGGCCAATTCACATTTAAAGTCCAGGCTAAAGCTCTTTTGCCATTTCTCTAAAAGGATCACCCACTTCTTTCTACCAATAATTTTCCTTTTGGACAGGAACCTTATGTTCATACCAGATACGCTTTCCAAACAGGATCCAATTAAGAAGATTCAATGGGCAAATGAAAATTGATTTGAAGGACCCCTAGTAGCTGATTCCCCCACCATGTATAGATTACCTATAGATTATGTATCCAATATAGACACACCTACAATGGAAGAGAATCCCTTTAGCTTACAAACTCAAAAACTTGCTCTGCTAAGAGGGAGCTCTACTTTAAATGAGCCCAAACATATGCACGTGCATGTGAGGACACACACACACACACACACACACACACCCTAATTTAGCTTAAAACCTAAGGTCCAAAGATCACAGTACACACCATATTCTTCATGAAACTTCCAAACTAACCCCCCAGTGGAAGGGTCACTTTTGTCTCTAAACTCCCATAATGCCATTTCTCTTCAATGCCGCCTACTATCTTGTGTTATAATGATTCCCTCACATACCTTCTCTCAGCAACCACATGGGAAGTTTCTTGAAGAAAAGGACTTCATTTTAAATATGCTTATGTACCCCAAATCCTGTGCACACACAAGTGCATACAAATGTACATATGCATGTACATATATGCATGCACATATGTATATACATATATAAACATGTCTATCACAATATATATTTATACATATGCTAAACTAAACTGAATAAATAAGTGAATGTTCACCAAATACAAAGTATCTAGATGCCACTTCATTCATACACCAAAGCATGAACTGCCTCTTCTTTTCTTTTTTTTCCACATTTCTTATTGGTGCATTATAATTGTATACATTGATGGGATTTGTTGTTACATATTTGAATATGCACACAATATAAGAATATAATTTGGCCGATATCACTTCCCTGCATATGAACTGCCCCTTATAAATTGATACTTCTTTGCTCATTAGGAGATGGGGGGAGGGGTCCCTATTTAAGGCATACCTGCACCTTAAAATGTCAATTCCTAATTTCTTCATCAACCTTAGCTTTCCATATAGTCATTCTCCCCTAATACTCAAAGAAAAGCAGAGTCCTACTTTGAACTCTGGAGAATATTTTTCCTTTTTTGGGCTCAGATACATGATTTTCATCAGGTAGAATTAAAAAGTGGTAACACAACTCCAAAAAAAAAAAAAAGGCAAAAATCTTATCTAATACTTTAATTTCACTAGCTCTTACTCAAACAGTGCCCCAGGTAACCTAACTCAGAGGTCCCTGACTCACCTTTTCATTCCATACATTCTCCCATTGCATATGCTTTTCCTATTTAAAAAAGGAATTGTTCTGAAACAAGTGGCCCAGAATCCCACAGGTAACTGACAGCACCCCTCAGCTCTCTGGTGTTGTCAGGAATTGTTTTGAATTCCCTCCCCAGGATGATATTAAGCCTGCAAAATACAATTGTGGAAAAAATAAATTTGAAAGAAAACATAAAGAAAGCAACCATAGACCCTGAACTTCTGACCTATTATAGCTGACTAAATATTTGCAATTACACACTTAAAATATTTCATTATGGTTGTCAATGAAACCATGCAGTTCCCTCATAAGTTGCTGTAATGGTTAAAAGTACAATTTGCCCCCCAGTATTTCCCCTCAGGATGCAAAGCATCTCCCAAATGGACAAACATATCTCGGTCCTCACTGCAGCTTCTGAATACTGCGAGCCAATAAGCAATTGGTGTAAAGTGCAAAATCTCGGAAGAACGAGACTTCTTGTCTACTTTTTTGTAATACGCTGTTATCTACAGTTCACCTTTACTTCCTTTAAAAATGAAAAGTTGCCTAATGTTCAAAGCGAAATCAATGGAAATTTAACTAAATTTTGGCACAGAAACGGTTCATTTCCAAAAGAATATAAGATTTCATTAATTTCCTAGTAGTTCAACTCAAGTTTTACCTTTCATATTCACCTACAGACTTTTTAAAAAGTTTGTATTCCTGTTGCACACAAAATTACTTATAATATGTGTGCATAATAAAGAATTGTACAATTATGTAAAGCATTGCACATTTAGACGCTACCAACCTGCTCTCTCTCTCCTGACTGTGCAAAAGGCAAAAAGAGCTCAGTAATCCTAGCAGAAGAATGCAAATAACGTCAATGCACAGCTGAACTGCAAGCCCTGCCTTACAGGAACTCTCTGTGTCTGCAAAAAAAAGACACATACTAAACAGGAAATGCAACTGAGCGGTGGAAAACCTCAAACTTAAAAATGCAATCGCCAGGCGAAAAATGCATCCATGCATCCATAAATGCATGCACAACCCTTTGCATTTTTGCAAGTAATGCAAATAGCCTCTTACCTTTCGACTGAGACATTTTCCCCTTTCCTTTGATGGGGGAGGGGAGCACAAAAGACTTTGCCTTGCTTCTCTTCTGTAGCTAGTTTTGCAACAAAGATGCAAGCTGCAGGCGTGCAATCTTCATGCAAGTGGAGTTTCTCTTGACCGATGCAGCAGATGGACTTTCAGAGAATCAAGGTGGAAATGCACACCTTGCAAAACAGACTGGAAAGTGATTTTTCCCCCAGTTGCAACGTTAGGGAAGGCTGTGCTGCAGCTACATGATGGGCCAGGGCTGGCAGCTAAAAGCTCCAAACTTGGAACTGAGTATCTTAGTGCGCAGACGTCCTTCCTGCGAAGGGCGCGGAGCCTACTGGGTAATGTAGTTCCCGTGTGTAGTCCACGGGGCTCTGATTTAAGGAAACGTGGTCGTCTCGGTTGCTGAGTGAGACTTATGGGCGCGAGAAAGATTGCACTCAGATAAACAAGTTAGACGCCCAGTCAGTAGTAAGAAACGACAAGGCCAACAAGAAAGGACATTTTTTGCCCCAGAAATAACAGCTAAAGTACATGCTAAAGAACCTGAGGATAGTTAAAGGGCTTTGGCTCCTTTAGGTCTGTTTGGGTGTTCAACGTGTTAATTTTGTAACCCAGCACCTGTTGGACTGTTCCTGCCTATAGGCTTTCACCCTCACACGTCCATTTTTAAAAATGTTTTTCTCGCTTGGAGGATTTGTTGGTAGTTTGGCCCTGCAGAGTATGCAAAGTTTTATTTAATAAGAAACGATTCTGGTCAGTTCCTTTCAAGGAACCTGAAATTCAATACGGAGTAGGACTGGGGTGGGGAGATTGGGGAGTTCTCATTTCTTACAGGGTTACAAAGCAAATTCTGTTTGTTATGTGTCAAAGCCAATTTTATCCAAGTCCAGATATTTGGATGCTTTTTCTCACCTGAGGGGAACTGGGATGAAGAGGAAAGTCCCTGGCCTGGAGGAGAATGCGGGTGATAATCTTAAGTGAACAAAGTCAAATATCTTGTATATAGTCAATAAAATCAAGAAGTATTTGTTGAGTATGGAGTAATTGCCAGGTATCTTTCTAGGGCCTCGGGCTGTCCATTTGCCCTGTACTGCTCATAGCAGGAGGGTGGGCAGCAGCCCAGTGAACCAGAGTATCATTCTTGTCACTAGGAAGCCAGAGAGGCACAGAATTCCCTCCAAGAAATGGAGAGGAGGAGAGAGGTCTTAGTGGAAATGAGCTCAGACTTTCTGAGCATAGACCACACTCAGGAATGTTCTTTGAAGGCCAAGAGCAAAAAAATGAAGGGTTTCAGGCTGTTGAGGTGTAAGTAAAGCCCAGGGGTGGAATGATTATCCCCATTCTATGGGCCAAGAGAATTGCCTTGCATATAAGAACTGATGGGGTGGGCAGAATATTCTGGTGAGGACTCTACTGACCTTATAAGACTAGTGAGAAGATTGGACTTTATTCCTCAGGTATCTGAGGGGTGGGGACAAGGTTTTGAAAAGGGGTGTGACCTAATAAAAGCATTGTTTTAAAGAAAGTAAAACTGCCCTTAGGGATAAAGGTGGGTTGAACTAGGAGAGGCTAGAGATAGGACAGGACAGGTCAGTCATGGAGGTCAAAAAAGCACTTTTTTTTTTTTCCTTGAAAGAAGATTCAGCTAGATTTGATGGTTGCTAATAAAAACTGTTGGAATTTTTAAGAATTCTGGGAAGCCAGGGCCATCAGAGTAATGGATGAAGCAGAGAGGGCCACCATTTGTCAGGTGCAAATCAGCAAATCAACCCTTACATATGCAATAGGTAGTGGGACTGATATTAATGACTTTAGTTGATCCCCTTTACAGGTGTTATAGAGAGTTAATCAAGGCAGGCTTGTCCCTCAAAGAATGGCACAGGTCCCATGAGTACTGGTGTGAACAAGCTCAGAGCCTCTTTCATCCAGCGTTTTTTTCTAAGTCTTACTTCACCAGGAGATACATGTGTTGAGATTCATTTCAACACATCCAGTTCACTTTCCAGTTATTGAGAGAGCACCTGCTTCATACCAGGCCCTGGGATAGCTACTGACCTATGTAGACTATAGGGCCTGAACAACCACCCCAAACTGCTTTCAATTTGCATTTTGTGTGGTCAACTGCATTGCTCTTGAATTACCTAGACTCCCTTCTTTATGAAAGGGTTCTAATCACAACGCTGGTGAATTTTGTGACTGGTATGTGTGCTCCCACTTTCTCCGCATAGGCATGTATAGTTCACATCTGGCAAATAGTTTGTGTTCAGAAAGTCAGTCTGCAGTTCCTTTTTCCATAGAAGCAACAGTATGTTCAGGAGTTAATCCACCCATACAGATACACATGCATACGCAAAGTACCTTCATTTCATAAATTAGCTGAATGAAAGTTTTTTAAAAGAGCATGATGGATTTTTTTTTTCTTTCTGGAAAAAAAAAATATGTACGTCCTAGATTCTGAATAGGAAATGGGGATAAGAGGGATCTCAACCTCTCTGAGAAGTTTTAGCTTCTAGAAGAAAAAGTTCACCTTCCTGCCCGGTTGTGAAAAGGTTTCTACCTCCCACATTCCTGTGAGTGGAAAAGCCTGTGCCTCTGCTCAGCTCCCAGTCTTCCTGGTGGTAGCCACCCTAGGAGGAGAATCCCTCCCAAGGTGAAGCTAAGAAAGCAGAAGTGAATTCTGACAGGTCGGTTTTTTATATGCCCATGGAGTGTTTTATCTTGAGGTGACCTGTGTCTTTGTATGGTATTCCCGACCTTTGTGATTTGTCTGTACTTCCTTCTAAAAAAGGCAAATCTGATGCATTCTCCTCCCAGCTCCTAGTTATCTGCAGGATCAATTCCAAACTCCTTGGCAAGGTACAACAGGCTCCTCGCGAGACCTCATTCCTGTCTACTTTCCAGGTTCATTTCTTAACCTGTGTTGATCCTACAGCAGGAGAAGCAGGGTTTCTGGTTCTTGACTTTTAGACACAGTGCTCCCGACTCTCAATGTGAATTAGGTGCAGTCCCTCATTCCATGACATCCTGTGCATTTCGTCTCCCCTGAGACTCACTCGTCACAGGGCCAGTTGGAGTTCATGTTGTATTTGTCTCTGCAGGAGGCTGGACTGTTGGAGATCAGAGCTATTACCTATTATCTCGACACTTCAGCAAAGTATCCAGTATATCTTGTAATCCAAAGCCTGTTGCAATAAGGAATGGAATAGATGGGGCAAGGACCAATACCTGTGGCTAACCTGGAATAACTGGATTCCAACAATGGAGTTAACACCTTAGGGGAGACTGGAGCACCTGGGGAAGGCCCTGTGCTGTCAGGTGAGAGGTGTGAGATTCCTGGAAGCAGGACCTCAGGTTAGGTCATGCTGGCTTCATAGAGCTATATCCTGGGTGGGGGAAGTGGTGACACAGGGGACCACATAGAATCCAAGGGTCAGGAACAGTACCTGCAACCTAAAATCTCAGTAGCAGTGGTTCTGTACGGGGGGCAGCTTTGCCTCCTGGCAACATGGGGCAGCATCTGCAGCCATTCTGATAGCTAGTGGGTAGGGATCAGGAATGTAATAATCCTGCTAAAGTGCACAGGAAACCTCCCACAGCAGAGAACTATCTGGTCCAAATGTCATTTGTGTTGAGTTTGAGAAACCCTGTTGTATACCATGAAAAGTTACCTAACACTCTGATTTTAAATTAAAGATAATCATGTCTGATAAATATGTACTTAATTTGACATAAGAAAAACCCTTGAGGGCTGGGGATGTGGCTCAAGCGGTAGCGCGCTCGCCCAGCATGCGTGTGGCCCGGGTTCGATCCTCAGCACCACATACAAACAAAGATGTTGTGCCCGCCGAAAACTAAAAAATAAATATTAAAAAATTCTCTCTCACTCTCTCTCTCTCTCTCTCTTTAAAAACAAAAAAAAAAAGAAAGAAAGAAAAATCCTTGAATCTAGGATGTTTGGATTTTGGTCCTGCACACAGACGAAGTTAACTGTATCTGGGTCTCCTAAGGCAAATCATTTTACGTTTTGGTTTTGTTGTTGTTGTTGTTGTTGTTTTGTTGGTTTTGTCTGTTTGTTCACTACTGGGGATTGAACCCAGGGGTGCTCTACCACTGAGCAACATCCCAGTCCTATTTATTTATTTATTTTATTTTGATACAGGGTCTCGCTAAGTTGCTTAGGGTCTTCTAAATTGATGAGGCTGGACTTGAACTTGCGATCCTTCTGCCTCAGCCTCTCAAATTGCCAGTTACAGATGTGCACCACCACACTCAGCACTTCACTTTCCTCTGCCTGAATCCCACTGGAAAATAAGGAAGGTCAGCCTGAGGCTCCTTGCAGTTCTTCCATTCCATGGCTCTAAACCTACCTCACATGTCCTATTAAAACCACTAATGATTTAAAAAGAAAGAACTAAATTTTTTTATATATATATATATCAGCTAAACCTCTTTCTGTTCAGGAACTATAAGAGTCCCTCATCCTTTGCTTTGGCAAGACAACCAGTGACCATCATAATAACGTCAAGTAAGAGATGAGACAAGAAATGCTCATATTACTCTTTGCAATATTATCTTCCAGGTAGAAATACTAATCTGCACGTGACATTTATGAATGTTCCCCAACAGTGTCTTCTAGATGTCAGTAACAAGAAAGGGAAGGTGCTAAAGTTAAAGATCTAAGTTCAGGTGTGGAGTGTCTGCTTTTCTAGAATCCAGAACTATGACATATATACATATATATGTGTATATATACACACAGTATATATATGGTGTATACATATGGTGCATATATATATATATATATATATATATATATATTTGTTATATACAATGAAGCATATTGGGGAGAAGGCATATGGAAGATTTATTTAGGGAATTAGATGCTGGGTTGCAGTTACACAATATCTTTATGTTCATTTTTTGCTTTGGGTTTTTTTTTTTTTACTTCAATTATCACACGATTATTAGGAGAAATTTTGAAAATTCCAACATACATCAAGTGTAGTTTACATGTCCTCCCCAGTATGGCGCAGCTCCACCTGTTTAGCATTCTCTCTCCCCTGACTACTGTGGGGTAACTTTGTTTAAGTTGTCTTGTCAAAACAGGATTCTCGTCCAACTGAAAACGGGAACTTACCTGCCACCATTTCTGCATGTTAACTCCCACTATTGTTCTCTAGCTTTGCCTTTTTCTGGCCTCCACTTCAGTCTCTCTCTCTTCCCCCACCCCACCCCCCGCCCCAGGTATTGGTATTAGGGATTTAAACCAGGG